TGATTCTAACGATTATAAATTTGTCTTCGAGCGCTCTTGACAATATTTAGGACTTTGATTCGATGATCTACAGTACACATTCGTTAGTTGATGAGCGTTGTAGAAAACTCATTATCTCAATGGCTTTAACTTGGTGTATTTTTGTCATTTCCTTTCTGAGTTCATGTGCCCAGCTGTATGCACGGGATATCAAAAAAGATGTTATTGACTTTAATCCAGATGCTGAAACCAGTCAGACTTGTATTTGTGCTCTAAACTTTACGATGACGACGAATGACAAACCTATTACTATAAATGAATTATTGGACAAAATTAATCAATCAAGTACCAACGTTTTTAATTTTGTTACGACTCGGTCGCCGCTTCCTGAATTATTTGCTGGATCATTTACGGTGTGGGTCACCAATAATCCAGGACGTGGGAGAGAAACCATGACGTATCCATTAGGTTATGAATATTTGTCTTGGGGAACATTGAAACTTACTATACGATATGCGTATCTCGAAATTGAAAATTCGACTGATAATATTGATGATATTAAGCATTTTATTAGGTGTCTGATGTCATCGATAAAAGATAAAAGAAATATCACTAAGAAAATGTTTTGTTTTCCAAGAACCTGCGATAATCCAATTTACACATTTATTTACACCTTGCAACTACGACAATGCTTTTCATGTTGTAAGAATTCAGCGGTACAGTGTTGTGATCCTGAGGCTAAACACTGGCACTGGGATATGACCCTTGCCGTTATTAGTTGTATTGTGCTGCTATTTTGTCCACTACTGATTGGCATGTTTTTGAGGAACCCTCATGGGAATCCATGTGATATTGTTCGACGACTAAATCGGAGAGAAGGATATGCCAATTTGGAGCAGGAAGATGAAAATGACAGTTACAGTCACGGGTCAAGATTGGCGTTAAATTCGCCGTTACCTCTTGGAGTAAGATACATGCTTTTACACTGGGGAAACAGACGTAGACCAATTCTAAGGCTTCGAATTACAATACTTACTGTGCTGATGAGTATAATTACTTCCAATCAAATGATTATAGGGAGTATATACTATTACTCTTTGATTAAAAGTTTCATTATTCTGAAATTAATTTTTGCAATCTTTTTTGTTGTTTTTCATTCGGCCTCAGTGTCTATTTTCAACGACGGATCGGAATGTGGCTTAGATTTCGACAACCACCAATACACGAGTCTTTATCGTCAAATACTGAATCGATTTCAACATGTAATAAGTTTGCGATTTTGGAAGGAGAGACCATTTCTTGCGATCACGTCTCAGAGCAAGCCAATATTTCGCTGCCTATTTTTCATTATAGATGTAATCATTGCATTTTTTTGTCTAATAAGGTGTATATTTCCATCATTGTTTTTTATCTCTGCTCCAATAGTTTCTCTCTGCCAATCGTTTAACAATTTCAGCAACATTCCTCGCGCTAAAAAGGTGATTCATTTTCTGAGGGCTGTGATTCTCGCCATTATGCTCAGCATTTTTGTTATTTTGGTTTGTGTACAAGTGACGGTTATTGCGAATATCATTATAAAGATGATCATGCTGACAACTATAGGTATTATTAATGATTATGATAAGAACGATGAAGAGGTGTTGAAAGCCATTGCGTATTTAGCATTCGGCTTGTACTTCTTGGGAAGTTTCAGTGAATATTACAACTATTACGAAAAACTTTGGCACATCACAGTTGAAGCTGGAGAATTGTGGCAAGCTAGTCATGATATTCAAAATCAAGATTTTCTGCCAGAATATGTTTTAAGGATGAGAGCAGATCCTTATTTAAGAAAACCACTGGTAACCTACACAAAACTGATTCCTAATTTACCAGAAGAATTATTATTTCACGTTGTCGACATATGTGAGAGAAGGATAGTTAAAGTGGCGAAGGTTGTGTTGTGGAACCTGGGCGTTGGGTTATATTTTCTAGTAGCTGTCACTACTGTCATTGAGACAAATGAATTCACACATACTACAAAACCAATGGTAGCCTTAGTAATAGGAGCTTTTCCAACGTTGATATCAATTGCTTTTGAAAAACAGGAATACGCCATCAGAAAGGAAAAACAGCGCATTATTTGGAATGTAGTGTTCGACTACGCAGAAAGTAATGGATACAACAGAATATAAACATAAACTGAAAAGCCAGAGATTTACACTAACTTATTATATTTCTTGACTTTGAATTCTTTGTTTTGATGACGTATGATATTGAAGGTAAAAGTAAGACCAAGAGCGATGGATAGTTTATTATGATGGTGATGAGGCTTACTGGTTGTGACATCAATTGTAACAAAAAGCAAGTTATCATAGACATTTCTGTTTTTGTTGATGCAATATAAAAAAACATGATTTTACTCACCGTACGTTTCGCGAACGATCCGTTCGTTTTCTCAAGTAGACTGGCGATGCTACATCACTATATGATTGTTTATATTGGATCAACAAAAATGAAATGTCTATGATGATTATATATATGGATCCAGATGAAATTATTCCAAGATAAAGTTGATAAGCAATTTTGATATTAAGCATAAACTAAGCTAAATGCTACACAGTTTATGCACCTCCTAACCTGAGCATATAGAAAGCAGAAAAATGTAAAACGTGTATGAACGATCACTGCTTTTTGAAAGGAGAGGATATGAAAATACACGCATAAATAAATCAAACTTGCAAAAAAAAATAACAAAAAAGGCAAAGAACATCATAAAACCTAGAAAACAAAGTAGGCCTACTGTACTGAAGTTAGAAAGACGTACTCGTACTTTTTAAAAAATATTTTTTAATAGATTTTGGGTGAGCAGATGAGACCAACATTCAGGCTTTTAAAACCGTTTATTGAATATATTATGTGTTGATATTTGTTATTATTCAGTGGTGGCACCAGTTGGGTAGCGGCGGTAGCCATAGAGCCCCCGACAGGGAGAAAAAAAAAACACATTTGTCTTGGAGAAACACAAATCTATCATGAGGCAAAAGTTTCCTTAGCAGAAAAAGTTCATAGTGAGCTGCTGTCAGATGGTCCAGAGGGAAAAGACTACGGTCTTCGATACAATAACTTAATATCAGGCCTGATATCAGGACATTACAACCATTACACATTATTACAGTGGAACCATGGTTATGGTGGAAACTACTTGTATAAGTGGTAGGTCGCAGCTAGGAAATCATAGTACCCGAATGCTCAAATATTGCGCCACGTCGCTTATAAAATTTGTTGAGGCTTCAGTGCGGCGCTTATTCGAGAGCGGCGCTTATAAAATCATTGGCGTGGAGCAATTTGCATCATCCTGTTAAGATCCCATGTTATCTATCTCAAGTAGTTCATAAGGACTATAATGGGTACTACGTCATCTTGGTTGTGTCTTGATTGTGTTGTTTATTTATCTTATCACCTGTGTAGGCCTACATTGTATTTAACCCTGTTTCTCATCAAAGTTTTTCGTTAACACATATGGTAATACACTCTCGATTAAGCACCGCTGCCCTTATCCCCGAGACGCTTCCAAAAAAAATTAGCGGCATTTAGTCGAGAGCCACGCTTATTCAAGCATTTACTGTAAGCCAAAATAATAGGTCAATTCAAATTAGATTTACTGCGTAGCACTGTCAACACAACAATAATTACAATCACATTTAGGCCTAAACATTATTAGTTTTTAACTGCATCCACTACATCCCCATTTTACTCCATTTTTCTAATTAATATTTTATATACTGTGTATCGCTGTTTGTCATTTTAATGTCTTTTAACTCGACCAAGCATAACACATTTTGTATATTTTATGTATTATATAGACCAATGAAGGATAACAAATTTCTGCTTATTTTATATAGACCTATACAACAGTAGATCAATAAAAGTTTCTTGAATCGTGAATCTTAAGTGCACATATACTGTACCTATACGTTCTTAGACAAATTTTACCGAGAGAGGGCGTGCGTTCTTAAGATATAAAGCAGCAACTCAATGCCGTATTCGACTGGTCGTTCTTCGTTAAACCCCGTCCACCTGCGCAGTGGTAAAATCCTACCTAACGAAGGCGGCCACAAACATATGGCCGATTGGTGAGTTCAGAAACAACATTTGTGTTGATATTATTTAGATTAAATTTCAGAAAATAAAAATTATAGTATTTACCAACATGAAGTCAAAAAATAATTAAAGCCTAAGAGAATTCAAAAACTGGATGAAATTTTTTTTTTTTTGACGAAAAACCCGTAACTGCCAAAAGCTGAAGCAATTGACTACGCAGCGTATCCATTTTGTTTTGTCGACTATTTACAAAGTAGACCTATTCTATTCGACTGGTCGTCTTAGTTAGATAGGATTTTACCGGCGGCGTAGGTGGGCGTGGTTTAACGCAGAACGACCAATCCGAATACGGCCAATATACAGTAGCTGCATAGAGACCGCGCGATACACGCTGCGTAATCAAGGTGCTTCGGATTGTGGCAGTGTGTGTTTTTCGTAAACGTAAATAAAAGTCATCCAGCTTTTGAATTCTGTTAACCTACAATTATTTTTTGACTTCATGTGGATAAATATTATAATTTTTATTTTCTGAAAATTAGTCTAAATCAGGGGTTGGCATATAGGCCTAAATATATCGTTCGGATCTGAGCGAATTTTGATTTAACACCGAGGGCCGCACCCAAATTTTGATGTTTCCAGTGATCTTCGAAAAACGTCGGAGCACTGCTTTTACATCACTTTATTCTCAATTATTATGTTACTTTTTTCATATGATGGTGTCGGGCCGTAAAAATCAATGGTTTTCTCTACTGCCAACTTTGATTAATTGGCGGGCCTCAAACATAGAGTTTTTAATTCATTGTCGCGGGTCTAAATAATATTAACGCAAACGTGGTTTCTAAACTGTCCAATCGGCCATGTTTGTTTTGATGACGTGGATAACTTAACGCTGAATTAACGCACTCTGGTTTACGTTAATTTTCGTTGTCAACGAAGTCTATTTTACGAACCACGTGGAATGAAAATAGTACTCAACGAAAAATTGTAGTCAACGAAATGAATCAATCGAATAAGGCCAACGCCATGTGGTGGATGTGACGAAGTAAACACCGCTGCTGCAATTAAATGGTAGAGTATATCAGTACAGTACTGTAAAATAATGTTAAGTTAAAATTAATAATAAAACATTGCTTTTGTCAAGCTTTTAAACTGACGTTCACTTAAAGCAACGCAAACTTACCTAGGCCCTAGTTCTGGCCAGCTACTAGCTAGGCCTAAGCTAGCATAGACCAGGGCCCTAGGCCTAGCTAGGCGGCACTGCCTACTCCCGCTAGGGCCTATGCCCACCAGATGCAAAGGCCTAACTAGGTAGAAGGAGGACGACTAGTAACCGTGGCCTAGCCTAGCCCTCATGCTGAAGGCCAATTCGCCGACAGACATTGTACTTTTCTAGGCCTATGTAGCTAGGTACTGTATGTGACAAAAAAAATTAAATGAATTAAGAATTAAAGGAATTCCTTTGCAGCTACTCAATACCATTTGAAAGTTAGTAAAATTTGAATAAATAAACTAAAGAAGCCATTTAAAAAGTACCATCCATTTTCTGTCAGAAAATAGGCATACTATAAATCATAATAATTGATATAATATATATATATACAATACTAAATATTAAGTCTCGATTTATATAGGCTATATATAAATTATGAAAGAAAATATACATTAATTTGATAATTTGATAATTGATTAAAACAGTTTTAATATCGAACTCTGATGCCCATTGTCCAACATACATTTTGCATACTGCACACTTGGCGCTCCATACAAATTTGCTGTGTATCGACTCGCGGCCGCGGCTACGGCCCTAATCCTTACATTGGTACCAAGATCGTTGTCTTTCTTGGTCAAATATCAAGTATGTGACCTTTTTCTTGAAAAAAGAACAAAAACTACATTAATTTCTTTGTTTTTAGACATATTTCAATAAACTAAAAAGTATTTGAAAGCATACTGTGGTCATAAAGAAAAAATAATTATAACCTCTGCAGCCAAAACAATAGAGGGCTGTGCAAACAGTTGAGTTAGTTGCTGGCAGAAAATGATAGCGGTGACATGATATCGATCTCTCAATGGCTGATAGTTACGTACCTACATTTTGGCATTTACGATAATTTCCATTCTGAAGTCATTCTGATGTTATACTGTACTGTACTTGCAGTTACTGGAGCACAAAAATGCAACTCAATTTTAAACTGTATGTTAAAATCTTTTCATAATTTTAAAACTGAAAAGTGTCAGCAAAGTGGCTGTCGGCAAATTAGCTGCCAGGAAACTGGCTGTTGGCAAATTGGTTTTCTGTGAATTTATTGTCAGTGAAACATCCTGTTGGCGAAAGTCCTCTCGCCTAAAAGATGTGTCGGCGAAATGACATGTCAGCGAAAGTGCATTTCAAGTCCAATAGTCTGTTGGCAACAATTCTGTCAGAGAATTGGCTACTATGCGCCCAGAATTTTGTGGAATCATATTTTTACGTAATTAGTTTTAATTAGAATTTTAAAATGGTTCACTCATGCCTTGCCATTATAGCTCGGCCGTTCCAAGGCAGAAAATGAAATAACAGTTGCATTGTTTTGCCATGGAAAGTCCGAGCTGAAATTGTGTTTTGTTTTTCGTTCGCAGATCTAAATATTTGCCAATATGAACTCAATGCCATTGCCTACTGCGGTTACTCACAAACAGAATGTTTTCAGGGAATTTGCAGAGAAGTCTGTTAACTGTTCTGATGCAATTAGCTTGCAGTCAGCGATGGATGAAATTTGTGCCACTTGCCAGTCAGTTCAGAGATGATAAACTGGCTTCAAAGAACAACAACATACAATATAAGCAAAGGAATGGCAGTAAAAGTACTTTATCAGTGGAAGGTAGAAGGTTGAGTTTTAATAGAAGTTTTAATACTTCACAGTTTATGCATCATATAAAACACCTGAATTACAGAATGGGACTGATTAAGAGAAGTCTGTCAACATCTGTGATCTTCTGCAAAAAGCTTCAGAACAACGCACAAGACTCTTTCTCTACCAAAGATGATGTTTCTATTTCTGAAGATCAGGCAGAACTGGATAGCCTACTCAATGAAGACATCATGAGTTCACAGCTTCTTCATGACCTTGAAATGAAAGCAGACTCTGGAATAAGACAGGGTCATAATTTTTTAGTTATTCAGCCAAAGATTAAGTGGGGACCAGAGAGAAATTATCTGACAACCCCCGACCTACAATTAGAAGAAGCTGTGACCCTTGTCAAGACATTATCTCACAGTAGGGTTGTTGACTCATGCATATACTCCTTGAAGAACACTCAGAAGAAGTTTGTTTACGGCAAGGGAACATTTCAGAATATTACGGAGAGGATTAAACACCAGCCAAATATAGATGCGGTTTTCTTGAGTGTGGAAATGCTGACTGGACTTCAACACCGAGAACTTGAAGATGCTTGGAATGTCAAAGTTTATGATAGGTTTGTTTGGCCAAGTATAAAAAATAATTAGTTTCTCATATATCACAATCTGCTTCCTTCTTTAGCTGCTACTACTTTTATGTTGGATTAGTGTATATAAATAGTGTCATCTACTTTGACCTACTCTAGATTATATTCGACAGAAATGAATGCCCACTCCCTATTCAAGAAGTTCAGATGACAAACTATTTATTTTTTTCTTGGCATTTGGTAGTGGTATGTGGTATGCCTAAAAGTAGTACTGTAATAATATTTGTACTAAAAAAAGAAACAGGAGAAAACATACAACCTTCATATGATTCTTAACTACATGCCACTTCTATATATATAGATACTGTGGTATATTTTATAGGACATCACAAGGACAACACGCAAGTGATGCAATGCAAAATTCATGTGGCGCTGTGCATTACAAACCTTTGACTTTCGCTTCGCACCACTTGACTATTGCTATGCGTTACTTGTGTTTTGTTTAGTCAGTGTCAGTATTTTTGCACTGCAGCACTTTCCTTTTTGGCATTCCATACTGTGTCACAATATTAAATTACCATTAACTGTTATTAAGTGTTGTTTATTATTTTTAGGTATGGTATTGTTCTTGAAATATTTCGAGATCATGCAAGTAGTAAGGAAGCCAAACTACAGATAGCCTTGGCAGAGATCCCATATATAAGGTACTGTAAGTATGCAGTTGGGATCATTTATAAGTAGGGAGAAATGAACAGTACATGCTGTACATGTTTTGATAGTGAAAATTACTTTGGCTTCTTGCATTACCTTGGTCAGCGACTGTACACTTGTATTTACTGTAGTGTATTTTACAGGGGTGGCGCTAGTGGGGGTGTTGGGCCAGGGTCCCTGTCGTGGAGAAAAATCACAGTGCGTCGGTGAGAAAAAAAAATTATATGTATTTTCAACATATTTATAAGTAGACTCTAAAATCGATTAAATAAGCTTTTGAAACCCCTAAATTGTCAAATTTACAGGCCGGGCTTTACACAAAACAAGTTCCATTTGTATTTAAAAACAAACTATAGATTTAGGTCAAGGTGCACCACAAATAGGTCGTATATTTGGATAAAAAAAAACCCAAGAAAATAAAAACTGAGGTAAATATTCTGTCGCACATGATGATATAATTTAGGACTGCTGTTCAGAGAGGAGAGGGGAGGGAGTATATTGAAAGTAAGTACAGTAAATTTCAATTTCTTTTATAAATTCAACAGATCTCGACTAAGAAATAATGTAGAAAAACTTGACCAGCAAAGTGGACGACAGAATTACATTGGTGGCGGGGGAGAAACTCTTCTAGAAATTCAACAGCGTCTGTTAAGTTCCCGCGAACTTAAGATCAAGAAAGCCCTAGAAAAATTGAAGAAAAAAAGGAGTTTGTTAAGAATTGGCCGACGCAAAAAACATTTCCCAATAATATCGGTAGTAGGATACACAAATGCTGGTACGTATCATTTTGTTGTTTAACTTGAAAAAGTAACATTTACACAACTGTAAGGTATAAAGAACTGGATATAACATCAACCTGATATGTTTTTATCCTGTGTAAGTATGTTTAGACTACTGTATTTTAAGTATTAAAGATGTGTCATATATTTTTTCATTTATTCATTCATTTATTTATTCACTCATTCATATAAACCATAACTAATGGAAATGTAACATCCAGCTCTAGTACTATGGATACAATACATTGGAACCCTCAATACATGACACAGTACTATAATGCAATTTTCACAGTAGCTTTAAGCTCAGTCGGCTAAACTGCTTGTAGCCACTGTTAGTACGCTGAACCAAGGAGATCTCTTGATCATCGGTTGCTAGAGGGTTGAAATGAAAGTTACGATAGTGCACCGTCTTTCAGATGAAAAGTTTAAGCCGTTGGTCGTGTGTGCATTATGGCCTGTGTGCACGTTAAAGAACGCAGTACACTCTTCAGGAAAGAGTAGCTGATTGTGCACTGGTGTACTGCCCAATCACCACCAGAAGGACCCCACTGGAAAATAAGTCTTGAGACTTTCGTGGGTTGTCCTTGGTGTTCACACCGAATAAATCCTTCCATACATTATGTATTCTCTGAAAATGTCCTACTGTTTGTAAATCTACATAATCTTTTATTATTATAATAACCACTTACAATTTTCAATTTTTGTAAAGTGTTATTTAAGTTATGAAATTAAACTTGTATTTTTTTTTAGGGAAAACCAGTTTAATCCGGTCCCTGACTGGAGATCTTGCCATGCATCCTGAGGACAAACTCTTTGCAACCCTTGATGTCACGAACCATGCTGGATATCTGCCGAATAAGATGCAAGTCCTGTATGTCGATACAGTCGGATTCCTCTCTGCACTGCCACATAGCCTCATTGCTTCTTTTTCAGCTACTCTTGAGGATTTGGTCTTATCGGTGAGTATTAACATTTTTTTTTTTAGTAATTGCATGCAGACTGTATAGTGGCACCCTACCGGCTAGGCCAGGCCTCCCCGACCACTCTGGCCCACCCACCAGTGCCACCCCTGAACCACTGATTTGATTTGATTTACAGTTAAACTTGTCTAAGTTGACCTTGCCTGACTCGAATAATTTCTAAGTCGAACTTATTTTGTATGCCAAACTGTTGTGTTTTCCATTAACAAACAATCTGTAATTTTATCTAAGTCGAACTATTTTTTAATGACATTTTGGATTCGACTTAGGCAAGTTCAACTGTATTTGATATCAATTTAATAACATCCCAAAACTGGAAAAACAGAATACAAAGAAACAAAATTGAGAAAGCAAGACATCAGTGTTGGTATCTGGGATAACACTCTGAATCCCAATAAAGGTGTGTTGAAAATTGTAATACTGTATTTGTTTGCTCTTTGTAAATTCTATCTTAACAGACTTCAAAATTCTGAATCATGTTGATACATACTAACATTCAGTAGGCAACGTATGACATTCATCCTACTGTATGAGGTTTACTTTGGTTTATATTGTCAACCCTACAATTTGACATAAGAATGTTCTACCAACATAGAGGCCACTCACTGTTAGTTCTGTTAAACTCACTTAAGGCCCTCTTCACAGTATCAATTTTATGTGAAAAAGTAAATGTGATGTGTCCATATTTGGGTGTTAAATGACATCATTATGCCTATATATGGGCACATCACACAAATTTGTCACGTACAATTTATGACAGATCTTTAAAGTCCTTCAGCTTGTCACTAAAATCATTCTTTTCATTTAATTAGGTCATCTGAAATATATCTTTTGATATTAATTTAATTTACATTCCCTGTACCAACACTAAAATAATGAATATAGATCATTCTCTTTTGCATCTCCCACACTCTGAAATGCACTACGAATTTACATGAAGGGGTTATCAAAAAGGTCCATCAATGCGTAGTTGAATTGTTAGTAATGAAAGGTCATTGGAGTACATTGGTCACTATTGTCACTGCTTCCTTGGTCACTATTATCACTGCTTCTCTTGTATTAAAGCATAAGAAATACCATTGAATTCGTATTCAGTATACACATGGAGTGACTCTTATTACACCCTGGTCTACCTTATCTCATGGTTATTTTGCCAGGATTTGATTGTACATGTACGAGATATAAGCCACCCCGAGGCTGAAGCTCAAAAAGTCAATGTGTTGAAAACATTAAGTGAGCTCCAAGTACCTCAGCATCTGATGGAAAACATTATTGAAGTTTCTAATAAAGTTGATAAGATAAAGTGAGTCAATTATGCTGTATCATCATCTTCATCATTATCACTACACCATCATTAGCATTATCATCATGATCATCATTGTCTTAAGTATAACCACTACATCATCATCAGCATTATTATCATGATCATCATTGTCTTAAGCATCACCACTACATCATCATCAGCATTATTATCATCTTTAGCATCATCACTACATCATCATCAGCATCAGTGGCGGATCTGGGGATTCTAAATAGAGGGGGCCAGGGGGTACTTTCACAGATGAATGATCCATTCCACCTCATCCCCACCATGGTTGAGGCTCAGGTAAGAAAATCTTTTATTAAGCACTTCTAGATTGCCTTAAAATTGCACTCTCAGACTTAAAATTTGAATATAATTTTTCTTTATATCTCCAACAATTTTGGGGGTGGAGGAGAGGCCCAGGCCCCTGAGCACTATCTTCATCAGCATCATTATCATTTTCATCATTATCATCAAAAGCATCATCATCATTGCTACATCATCATCACTACATTCTCATTATCGTCATTGACACTTTCCGCATCATCATCATCACTAGCATCATCATCATCATCCGTATTCTCACTACATTATCGTTAACAGCATCATCATCATCATTATCATCATCAATATTATATTTTTTATTTTAGGCATGGTCCAAGGATTGCAATACCCAATATATCACTGGCCATGCACGCACCTACTCATAACATGATAATCTTTTAACACGACAAAACACATACAAGATGCTTTACATAAGGTTCAGGGAGGTTGTAAAAAATCCAGGTGTTGTTTGAGAAGAATAAAATCCAGGGAATTTGGAGACAAAGACCTTAACGTCCGATAATGATAATCATATTCATTAATCAACTGCAGAATCATCATTACAAACATCAGTATTTTGATTATCATTATCATGTCATTAGCAGCAAGAGTATAATAGCCACTGTCGTCCCAAATCTCATCATTTTTATTTGCATATTTCAAAACCACATCTTTTCACTTTAAACATTATCATCATTAATCGTAAAAAATTTAATAATGTTTTTTCAATTTTTTTTCAGGAGTATTGAGAACTTTGGTGAAAGCTTTGGTGTATGTGCAATTGATGGGACAGGGATTGAAGATCTTAAGTCAGAGATTCAACAAAAACTTATGAAAGCATCTGATATAATCAGGATAGGCCTGGACATCCCAATGGCTGGGCCACATCTAGGGTAAGTTGGTGCACAGGGCTTGTATCAGAATGAAAGTGCATAATTCATTTGTGTATGTATTGTGTGAAAAGCAATATTGTCTGATATAAGTTTGACATACAAATGTGCAAGTAAAACTTCAAGATGGGTTTATTACAACACTGTAAAAAATCTTTAAAAAGTTTCATAATAGTGATCAAGTTGGTGCACTGGGAATATAGAATAAAAGGTCTATTAATCTGTTATATGCATGCCTATGAAAAGCTAAATTCGTTGATTATATGCATTGACCTTTGACATACACATTTGCAATTAAAACTACAAGATGGTTTATTACAACATACTGTAGGAAAGAAAAGTTTCATAATGATGTGTTGGTGCAGAGGAATATAGAATGAAAGTGCATTCTGTTTATATACATGCCTGAGAAAATTTTGTTTATGTGCATTGACCTTTGACACACATATGCACAAGTGAAACTACAAGATGGTGTATTACAACACTGTAAAAAAGTCTTAATAAATTAGGTCTCATATGACACTTTAGAAGAAAATTCACTTTTGGTTCTGAGAAATTGTGTTTGTCGTTTTACAGGATTTTAAACTTAAATTTTGTGATTGGGAGGCAAGCATTAACTTCCACTAACCTACACAACTATACGTTTATTTAATTATGTTTGTTTATAACTCTATAATTATAGGATTGTTGTTTTCTGTTGTGTTTCTAGATGGCTGTATAAAGAAGCTACAGTTGAGATAACAGCGCCCTCTGTAGTCAGTTCAGAGAACATGTTTGTTGTTGCTGTGTTGAACAAGGAAACATATTCAAAATTCAAAGGAAAATTTGGTGACTTGGAAAGTGATCAGTGATTATTTGATGATATTTACACAAGCGGTGCATTTCACAGGACCCTGACCAAGACAATTTATTTACATCGCTTCAGTTTACCCAATTACTGTATATGGACAGTTGATTGGCCGAGGGATTAAGTTAGGGGCACTGTAACCTTCAGCTATAATATCACTCCCTCGCCTATGGTTCCGGTGGTGGAACAAGTCTTCTCGGATAAGGACTTTAAACCGTAGGCCCAGTGTACGCATTCGGCTCGTATGCATTTTAAAGAACCCAGTACAGTACATCCTTAGAGAAGAGTAGGGGGTTACCCCGGTGTACTGGTCCATTCAGTCCCCTGTTACTTAATGGATATGCCACGTAGGACAGTGATTAAGTTTGCTGATTGGCATATCCTTGGCGTTCGTGCCTAAAGAAATGAAATGAAAATGAAATTAAATGAAACTATCCATTTTTTTTTAATCGCCTTCAGAACAATAATTATCATCATATTTTGACTGATTGAAAAGCTGACAACTTTTTTATTTGCATTTTCATCGAAATATGAATGAGCTGAAGAACATAAGACAGAGCAAACATATGTTATTATTTATTGTAAATAATATTCAAATAAGTTTGCTGCATAGCACCGTAAACACATTATAAACAAATACAGTAGACGAATAACAATAAAATTGCTTGAACACAGTGTTTTGTTTGCTTATATTCTTTATTGTCATGTTTACAATACAGCATTCATAAAATTTGTTTTCTATTCACACGTATAAACACTTTGTATTATGTATCAAGCAAGTACCTTGGCAAGGCCTAAAATTTTCTTCCTGATAATGCTAAATGTGTATATATTGGATCTAATTCGAAAATTAGGCCTACAAGAGTTGAATGTTTTTGTGTTTTTTTTTACCATTTTTTTACCATTTTCGGCCGTGGTTGTATAATGAGGAAGTAGAATAATATAATAGGCCTATGAAGAAGAGGAGTCTGCGAGTGCGAAGGTGCCCCAACTGAGGCATATGCATAGGCCTATGTACAGTATGTATTACCAAAAAAATACGGGATTCAACAATAAATTTGATAAGACATTTCATTACCAATTAGTGTCACGACACAATATTCCACTTTTAAGATAAAATTGCCTAATGTTGTATGTACAGTATGTGTATATGTGTGTGTGCATATTAATCAATACAATTTATATAATTGATGTTTCGGTTATAAAGTGGTTGTCAGACAAAAAAGTACTGTAAGACACTTAGTTTTTTATTATTGTATATAGGCCTATATAATATATATAATGTGGCTTTGTTGCAGACTTAAGGAAATGCTGCTAATTTCGTAAGGTTGTGCTATTATTAACTATAACATCTATTGATGAATTTCACCAGTACAGCTACGTATTGATCCAATACAACGAGGAAATGTACGCTAATTAAGTTCAACAGCAGCACTGTAAAGCGTCGATGCGCAAACTCGAATCGCGCATAGAGTTCGACACCTGACTCCATTCAGTCCCCTGTTACTTAATGGATATGCCACGTAGGACAGTGATTAAGTTCGCTGATTGGCATATCCTTGGCGTTCGTGCCTAAAGAAATGAAATGAAAATGAAATGAAAATGAAATTAAATAAAACTGTATCCATTTTTTTTTTAATTGCCTTCAGAACAATAAATATCATCATATTTTGACTGATTGAAAAGCTGACAACTTTTTTATTTGCATTTTCATCGAAATATGAAGAACATAAGACAGAGCAAATATATGTTATTATTTATTGTAAATAATATTCAAAAAAGTTTGCTGCATAGCACTGTAAACACATTATAAACAAATACAGTAGATGAATAACAATAAAATTGCTTGAACACAGTGTTTTGTTTGCTTATATTCTTTATTGTCATGTTTACAGTACAGCATTCATGAAATTTGTTTTCTATTCACACATATAAACACTTTGTATTATGTATCAGGCAAGTACCTTGGCAAGGCCTACAATTTCTTCCTGATAATGCTAAATGTGTTTTATATTGGATCTAATTCGAAAATCAGGCCTACAAGAGTTGAATGTTTTTGTGTTTTTTTTTTCTCGAATACCAGTGATTATACAGTATATTGATTTATCAGTTTCCTGCAAACTGTTGTCATCTTTACCGGAGGTCTTCTTAACAAATGATCACTAAACGTCCCCAATTTTCAATATGCAATTCTGTTTTCAAAGGACTCAGAAATGTACTATTAAAATCAAAATATCCCCCTACCATAGAAGCACAAAAAGGTGTCCACACGTACCTTACCACACCATGGTTGAGGTTATGGTGAGCCAATTTTGTTTTTTGGGAAAAGGACATCTAGATACCCGGACATAGCACTCTCAGATTGTTTGAATTGTCATGGAAAAAATGTTTCCTCATTCAATTCAGCTGAGCGTTCCCATGGATGAACAGTGCGGTGAACCCCGTTATAATTTACGGTGTGTTTTTCGAGTGAGATGGATCAGAAACTCGCTCTTCTTGACGAGGAAGTGCGTGTTGCTTTTCGGGCATGGGGAAATTCATCAAGAAAATTGTTTTTCCCCAACAAATTTTACTACGTTCCCCTTTGGCAAAATATAGAGCAAACTATCATTCTTGTCAAGGAAATACTTGTCACTAAGAATTCCGACGCTATGGGATTTCAGCAGAACACAATCTCTCTTTTACTCTGTTCGAGGAAATTCAGTCATCAGGTTTTGGTGAATTTTTTGTTTTTGTTTTTTTTGTGTGTGTGTGTGTGTGTGAGGATGCTAATTTGTTCTCAGTTACGCTTATTGTTGAGAAATAAATTAATGTTCTGTCGGAAAATTTTAATTTTTTGTCAGGCAAAAACATTATGGTAAAAACTATTTACCCAATTCCCAAGGCAGTAGGAATGGACCTCTACAATGGCTGGGTATTGCTACCTCGGCCTGGCTGCCAAAACTTCGACGCCAACCCTTCATTCTGTGTTTTTATTATTATATTACAGTATATTACTACAGTATATTGTTTATGTATAAAACACATTTCCTCCCCCACCCCTCCATTTAACATGTTTCTCAAAAGAAAGGCCTCAAATATAAACGTTTAAATTATTTAAATTCAACGAATTGCCAATTTTGTTTAAAAATTTATAAGTTTCGAATTAAAAAAAAAATTAATAAAGCGTTATACGATCAAGGGAAGAAAACGTGCTGTATGTCAAACAGGCATTTTTATTCATTTATTTATTTATTACCATTTTTTAAAGAGGGCGACCTATCCAGTTGCTGTAGGGACTGATCATTAAGGGCCCTCGATAAAACATATAAACAATAAAACAAGTAAAATATTAAATATTCATAAGACGATATAAAAGTTAAAAGACCTACAATATAAACAATACCTGTACAATAAAACTTAAAATCTGACAAATATATTATATAAAAATGTATCTGTTTTAGTAAATTGCTTAGATTTAAAAGAGTTTAAATTTTGAGATAAGCGAATATCTTTGGAAATTAAATTAAAATACATAGGCGCTTTATAACTAAGACATTGCTTAAAAACTACTAAACTAGGTCAAGGAATATAGTAATTACAATAAGAAATGGATCTTGTAGTTGTAGTTTTCTGTTTTTGATGATGGCGAAGATATTCAATTCAAAGTCTAATCGCTTCTTCTTATATCACCTAAACAACATCAATGCAATGCTCTATTTTACGTGTAAACGCAGGGAACACACTATTCCCTGGTAAAAGTGTTAACCTACACAATCCATGCAACGTGACTGCACTAAGAATTATAATTACGGAACCGGTATTCTGAACGTCGGCCATGTTTAATTGAGATAATAAATACAAAACTGTTCTTTATGTTACTGGCATCAATCCTTATACATTGTGTTGCTATGAAAGCATTATTATATTACACTTTTCGTACGCAATTAGCCAAGGACGTTTGAATAATAATAGAGACGTTGAGTAATACCATTATAATAAGTACGCAAACGGTGCTGGCCATGCCAAAAACAGCATCTTTGACCAAAACAAGAAAATTAATTATTTAATATATTAATATTCTCCACATTATGTTTTTAAATGGTAGGTCATTTACCATAGCCGTCGGAAGTATTTTGTAAGTGGTACTGCCATTTTAATAAGAATGGTTGTGGACGGTTGGTGGAGGTGCTTCTCATTTTTTTTTTCACCATGGTTGAAAAAAATGGCTCCTCAGCAAATGCGTAATTAAAAAAAAATTCTTCACGTTCAATTTAAGGGTTTAAATTTTAATTGGATGGATGGATGGCTTTATTCGGTGTAAACAGCAAGGATATCCTATGGAAGTCTGAAGAAGACTTATATTCTGTGGGGTCCTTCTGGTGGTGATTGAGCAGTACACCGGGAGACAATCCCCTACTCTTTTCCGAAGAGTGTAGTGCACATGAGCCATATTGCACACGGTCATATTGCACCCGCAGTGGTGGGGATTTGCCCGACGGGGTCCAAGGTCCCCGAACGGTGGGATGGGGGCGATGTCCACTACGAAAAAAGTGGGCGTGGTTGGACATCCCTCGAAATCTCTCGAAAGTGTTCCCCGAAAATGACAAATTAGGGATTTCGACAGCTTTATATGTAATCAGTTTTGGGGGCTACTAATATGTAAAATATACACATAGGCCTACATTTTTTTTTGTTCTCATCGACGAATTTTGGTTTTTCTTCCCGAAAATATAGGGGGGGGGGGGAAATAGGGAAAAATGGGGTATTAGGCCTATATTAAAATTTAAGTCTAAGAGTGCCATTTCCGGCCATCTGAGGTGCTATAAACATACATTTTCAACCATGGGTTAGCTGAGGTGGTCTTTCCTACCCACCTTATTCACTGACCCGCCATTGCAATTGTTAAATTTTGTGTGCCACCAATTTTCTTGATTTAGTTTAGCTGCGGAGACCGAATAGGCCTATGCCCTAAAATATTTACGAGCGATTATCATTCGTATTTATTAGGCCTACTATAGCCTAGGCCTTTAGAAGTTGGGAGTAAAAGAAGCAATTCTTACTATGAATTTTCTGAGAACTTTAGGAATGATTTCCCGTATCACATCAAAGGATCCGGCAATTAATTGCACTACGGCCCTTTCGCACCTAGCTTCGCCGCTGAAGACCACCACCAATTAAAGACCACATTTATGCGACGGCCTCCGTTGAATGGCTATCTTTTATCATTAGCTGTTCCCTCCAATTAAAGATTCCCTCTATTTAGAGACTATGGGTTTGGTGGTCCCAACTGATACTTTCTTCTCCATGTAGGCCTACAGACCACTATAAAATAAATAGTGATTTTAATGCAGTTTTTTTTCTACAATAAATTAAGTTGTATATGACTTACACATAGAAAAAGGTAATCATTGAAACGTTTCTCTTTGATTATTTATCATCTTTGAACAGCAACTATGGCAACCGTTTGTATTATTATCAGTTTCAATATAGTTATGTGTTCCGAGTATATTAAAAACAAGTAATTAAACCCAACTAAATGTGATATGCATATCATTATAATAATTAAAATAAACAAGAATTTAAAAACTATTAGCGCCATAATATCTTATATATAAAGAAGAGGAATCTGCGAGTATTTACACAAATTGGCGCCTATTATATGCAGACACCTTAAGCATAGTTATTGAGGTTTTGTTGGGAATTTAAATCAGATTAAATCATCTAAATTTTCACACAATCACACTCATGCGCATGTGTAATTGGACAGCACTAGTTCTTGATTCATAGCTAAAGCAGAGACTATGATTATGATACACCACACTCTTATAAGCATATGACGACAAAGCATGATCTACTGTATCTCCGAGGAGAACTTATAATAATAATTATTATGATACAGGCCTAATAAACTATAAAAATAAACTCTAAATCGTCTTGGGGTAATGATGTAATGATATAAATAAATATATAAATATATATTATATATATATATATATACT